GCCCTCTGTAGAGTGCTGTGGCCTTGTAGCTCACAGCAACCTCCAACTCTTGGGCTTAAGCAATTCTCTTGCCTCAGCCTCCTAAGTAGCTGGGACTACGGGCACCTGCCACAATGCCCTGCTATTTTTTTTGTGGCAGTTGTCATTGTTGTTCAGCAGGCCCGAACCTAATTTAAACCCACCAGCCCCAATTTACGTGGTCAATGCCCTAAACACTGAGCTACAGGCACCAAGCCAGGTCTGGCTGTTATTCAGGCTGATCTCATAATCTTGGACTCAAGCAATCCTCCCACCGAGGGCTCCCAAAGTTCTAGGATTACAGAAGTGAGCCACCTAGACCTTTACATGTACTTTAATCCTTACCATAGTCCTATATGATTAGAACTATTATACCCATTTTATATATGGGAAACTGAGGTACAGTGAGTTTAACATAGTACATGATTTAGCTGGAATTCAAATCTCAGGAATCACACTCCATATCATATGTTTTTAATCATTACACTCCTCTAAGAAATGTCTCCGGGGAGTTTAATCCAATTTTAAAAGCCTAGATTAGCACTACACAAGTTGACTGCTTATTTTATAAATCAGATTTTATTCTAAAATGCTTTTATGTGTTTCTAAGCATAAAACTCTGCTCTGTTTTTATATGCTACTAGGTACCTTTAAATCTTAGGTGTAGGTGGCACCTGTAGCTCAGTGAGTAGGGTGCCAGCCACATACACCAAGGCTAGCTGGTTGGAACCCAGCCCAGGCCAGCTAAAACAACAATGACAACTGCAACAACAAAAAAATAGCTGGGCATTTTGGTGGGCACCTGTAGTCCCAGCAACTTGGGAGGCTGAGGCAAGAGAATCGCTTAAGCCCAAGAGTTGGAGGTTGCTGTGAGCTGTGATGCTATGGTACCCTACCAAGAGTGACATAGTGAGACTCTGTCTCAAAAAAAAACCCAAAATAATAAAAAATAAAAAATAAACCTTAGATGTAGCTTGCATGGATAATCAGTATAATATTTATTTGGCATTTTCCAGAAGAAAAGAGGCTTATGTGCCAAATGAGAATATGAATGGCAAGGAATTCTAAACGTAAAAACATCCATTTAAGTTCTTTCAAAAAAAAATATAAATTCCCACCCAGTCATCTAAAGAAATAGTTGGCTCCAATTATAAAGGAATTATTGATGGAAAGGAAATATGGTAAGAGTTCTAATTACTGATCACAGGTAAGTAGTAGATGGGAAATTAGATGAAATCTTCTATCTCCTCATTGTTCAAATCTTTAAACATGAAAATTACAAACATTGGGCTTTGAAGTTGTAAGAATCTGATATTCAGTTGGTTGGAGCACATCCCCAGATACTGGAATGTTATTACAGGTGCTCTTAGCTAAATAACCAGAAGCCCCCCAAAGAAAGAAAGAAATAACAATTAACTCAGTAATAACAGCCTTTGAGAAGGAGTTAAAAATGAAGGTAGCAATGATGACTGGGGATGCAGGCAGAGTACTGTTTTCCTCTTACTACATCATTTTTGCATTCAAAGATAGCTGCTCCAGAAAACCACTGGGCCTTATGAATGCCAGGTGAGGGTATCTTGCCACTGGATCACTGTGAGTGCAGTTATACGCGTAAGACCCTGATAGCGACACATGTTGGGAAATGTTATTAAGGGGGGAAGAAAAAGAATATAGCTGTGTAAGACATCAACGTATCTGTAATCTTGACTAATTGTATTTCTTTCTCCAACTTAAGGCAGCCTATTAACCAATAAACAATTCTTAAGCCTGTTTACAGAATATAACTAGGGTTCTCCTAACTTTTTTTTTTTTTTAGAAAATTCTTTTCAAAGGAAGGGAATTGGAAAGAGTGAATAATAACAGCAACACTTATCTTTTGGACATTTACCAAGGCCTCCAATAATGCTCTTTAAAGATATTATCTCATTTAATCCTCACAAGAAACCTATGAAATCCATTCTGTTATTATTAGAACAGCCATTCAGGACTGTGGTGGTGGAGTGTGTATGTGTTTGTGGCAGGCGGGGAGTGGTGGTCTTTGTGATACATTACTTTCAGCGCTAAAACTGCCAGGCAGGCTCGGCACCTGTGGCTCAAGCGGCTAAGGTGCCAGCCACATACACCTAAGGTGGCGGGTTTGAATCCCCAGCCCGGGGCCGCCAAACAACAATATGGCTGCAACCAAAAAATGGCCGGGCGTTGTGGCGGGCACCTGTGGTCCCAGCTACTTGGGAGGTGGAGGCAGTAGACTCGCTTGAGCCCAGGAGTTGGAGGTTGCTGTGAGCTGTGATGCCATGGCACTCTACCCAGGGGGATAGCTTGAGGCTCCGTCTCAAAAAAAAAAACAAAAAAAAAAACTGCCAGGCAAACTGAGACAGGTTGGTCACTCTACTCCTCATTTTATAAATTAGGAAACTGAAGCTCAGAAAGCTTTATCAGCTTGCCCAAAGACACCCAGCTAGCAAACAGGAGAGACATACTTGAACTACTAGGCAATTCTATCTTTTGACAAGGTTCCCCTATCAGAGTTAAAGTGAGGAAAAAAGACCTAACATGGTTTATTCTATAAACAGTTACAATAGCAATCAACCTCATCTAAACTCTCTCAAACTTAACTGATCAGAAGAATTACCTGGGAGTGCTTGTTAAAAAACATAGATTTCTACTCTAACACTATTGAATCAGACTCTCCAGGGAAAATGCCTAAGAATTAATATTTTTAACAAATAACCATATGATTTTGATTTAATTATTTATTTATTGAGAGAGTCTCACTGTGTCATCTGGGTAGAGTGCTGTGGTGTCAAAGCTCACAGCAATCTCAAACTCCTGGGCTCAAGTGATCCTCTTGCCTTAGCCTCTCCAGTAAGTAGTTGGGATTAGAGGCACCTGCCACAATGCCCAACTAGTTTTTCTATTTTTAGTAGAGATGGGGTCTCACTCTTGCTCAAGCTGGTCTTGAACTTCTGAGCTCAAGCAATCTACCCACTCAGCCTTCCAGAGTGCTAGCCACCATGCCTGGCCTCCCATATGATTTTATGATCAGATAAGCTTGAGTGCTTGAGTTGATCTAAAAGCTCTCTACTCTGTTAATGTGTTCTTTTTTTTTTTTGCTGCTGCTACTTTCTCTTACATATAGATAGTCTCCAACTTAAGACCAATTGATATCATTTTCCAACTTTAGAGCAGTGTACAAGTGATAACCATTCATTAGAAATCTCTTGATGCTGGGCAGCGGCAGTGAACCACAGGTCCCAGTCAGCCATGCATTTTCAACTTAGGATGTGTTCAACTTATAATGGGTTTATTGGGATGTAACTCAAGTTGAGAATCATTTTTAATAGTACAAGTTCCTTTGGCTATACCTATCTTTGAAGCTGGGTTAAGCTGAAAATAATTTTGACCCTGGTATAAAGTGTGCTGGTGGGGAAATAGAATTCCCAGTGGGCATCAGATAGTAGTAATGGCAGTGGGTGCTGAGTACCCAGAAATGGCCAGAGAGGCCTGGGGACAGAGAGAGAGTGCTGCAGCCATTATAAACAGCATCTTTTAGCCAAGTTGACCTCCTCAGTAGGTATTAACCTCCCTCACCTGAAGAGGCAATGTTGTGTTGTTAAAGAGTACGGATAATGGAGTCACATTGCTTAGGATCTAATCTCAACTGGAGCAGCTACTAGACCTTTGGTGAGTTCCTTAACCCCTTTGTGCCTCATCTGTAGAATGGTTCTAATACACATATTAAAATGCATCCCATAGTTTCCTTCCGGAAATTAAATGAGTTAATATTATTAACTAATTAGAACTGCATGTACAACACAGATATTTGCAAAATAATGGAGACCAATAAACTAATATTTCTAACCCACTTCCATCTTTTCATGCAAATTAATGACTGTACCAGGCGGTGCCTGTGGCTCAGTGAGTAAGGCGACGGCCCCATATACGGAGGGTGCCGGTTCAAAACTGGCCCCTGCCAATCCACAACAAAAAAATACCAGGTGTTGTGGCAGGCGCC